CACTGGATGGTAGCACCTGATAGTGTCTGAGTATTGTTGCCAGTGTTATTTTAATTGGCATGAGTGTCAAGTTAATGTGAGGGTGCTCAGCCATCTGGATAGAGCTGATTGACTTATCAAAGCTAGCAAACAATCTGTTTGGGACAACTCAGTAGCAGAAATAAAGTAATCTTCTCACAGAGTGCATTGGGTCCAATTCTCTAGTATTCCATACCTCCAACTCTCACTTCAGCACTGCAAGCAAGCATGAGACCATTTCTACATTAGCAAGCTCCCAGCAGCTGTGCCGCTGATATAATAAAAGCAACTCCTCCAGCAGTGATAGCTGTGTCAGTGTACACTACCACTTATGCTGGCAAAATTCATGTTGCTCAAGGGTGTGATTTTTTCACACCCCCAAGCAACATTGCCTTACAGTTTATCTTCTCTTGAGATTTAGTAGCATTTTACAGCTACTCTGCACTAGTTTAAATGCCAGCCGTAGGTGTAGGGCAATGGAGAATCAAGCCCAGTGTTGCAGGAAGGATGGTCTAGAACTAGAGTGCTAGCCTGGGATTTGAGAAGTCTAGATTCAGTGTCCTGCTCCTCCCAAACACTGGGTGGCATTGGACAAGTCACTTGACCTCTGTGCTGCAGTTCCCCAGTGACAAGTGGGAATAATAACACTTCGCTACACACATAGATACATCAAAGACTTTAAGGTGGTCTGATACTATGGCAATAGGGATAACAACAGCAATACCTGACTCAGCCTGGCTTCAGCCAGCCACAGCCTCATTTTCCCTTTCAATCCTAGGCCCAATCACCTGCCCACATTTTCTCTATCTTTCCAGGAAGGACTCACTGCCATGTCCAAGCTATATCTACACTCCTGGCTTCTTATGGAAGAAATATGCAAATGAGGCTCCCCGTGGAATATTGCCGAGCTTCATTTGCAGAAGAGGCTCTTGCGCCCAAAAGAGCTGTGTACACAATGCCCCTTCTTGCGCAACGAAAACCCTCTTCCACAATGCCATTACGCTGATTATTTTCAGGAAGAACAGCATTGCGCTAGAGGGTTTTTCTTGTGTAAGAAGGGGCAGTGTAGACAGCTCCTTCTGGCACAGAAGCCTCTTCTGCAAAATTGGTGGCTCATTAGGTATGCAAATGAGGCTTGGCTTAGCCTCATTTGCATATTTCTTGCACAAGAAGCCCTGAGTGTAGACATAGCCTTAGAGTCTTTCAGGCCCTTGTTCCAGGCTACCATTTTACTAACTGAAACAAATACAACACTTACACTCACTACAGACTCCAGAGTCCTTGCACTCTTTTCTCCTTTATTAAGCTTATCACGGGAACCACCCTCTATAGTACAACCCCTCTGAATGAGCACTTACAGCCACTTACACAGAACACCTGTTCTCTTTCTGAGTTGGGTTTCATACATTGAAAAGAGCTGGTTGGCTCCAGGTTCCCTTGTCCTTAAAGGGGCAGGTCCCAAAGTCCAACAGGAGCCATAAATATCTTAGGTAGATAGCAATGAACATGTCAACCTGCTATCTAAAGATCTTTTATTCATTACTTTTGTTAGAGCCCTAAAAGAGCCACCAAAATGGAGATTCAGAATTTTAATCTAAATAGCCCCAAACATGCTACCTGTCACTACAGCTACATCCACACCTGTTCTTGCACAAAAACTTGCGGCACATCTACACTGCACGCGCGTTCTTGTGCACGTAAATTTACAGTAAGGCATCGGAACAGAGGGCTTCTTGCACAAGAGTTATTCTTCTCCCCATGAGGAATAAGCCCTCTTTTGCAAGAGCTCTTGCGCAAGAAGGCAGTGGGGACAGGCATGGCTAAAATGGCCATCAGAGCTTTCTTGCACAAGAGCGCATCCACACTGCCATGGACACTCTTGCTCAAAAACACATCTCTTGCACAAAAGCACATGGCAGTGTGTATGTGCTCTTGCGCAAGACCTTTTGTACAAGAACTCTTGCGCAAAACAGTTCGGCTGTGTCTACACTGGGCCACTTATTCCAGAAAATCAGCCGCTTTTCCGGAATAAGCTGCGAGCTGTCTACACTGGCCCCTTGAATTTCCAGAAAAGCAACGACGATCTACTGTAAGAAATCAGCTGCTTTTCCGGAAAAACTATGCTGCTCTCACTCAGGCAAAAGTCCTTTTTCCAGAAAACTGTTCTGGAAAAGGGCCAGTGTAGACAGCCCAGTTGTCTTCCGGAACACTGTTCCGGAAAAGGGCCAGTGTAGACAGCTCAGTAGTCTTTTCCGGAAAAAAGCCCCGATCGCGAAAATGGCAATCGGGGCTCTTTCCGGAAAAGTGTCTGTGGCCAATGTAGATGCGCTTTTCCGGAAAAAAGGGCTTTTCCGGAAAAGCAGCCTGCCAATGTAGACGCTTCTTTTCCGGAAAAACTGAAAATGGAATAGTATTCCGTTTTAAGCATTTCCGGAAATTCATGCCTGTGTAGACACAGCCTTCTTGCGCAAGAAGCCTGTACTGTAGACATAGCCTACATGTCTGATCTTTCTCCTTTTCCAAGGCTGAAATTTAACAAAGAAAGAGGGAAAAAACCCAGAAAAAAACCAGAAAACCAAATCTGCTCTTTCCTCTTAAAGAAGTGGGAATGATTTAAATGCCCAGGAGAAAGATTTTTTTCCCCCATGAAGCAATGTATAAATAAACCTCACAATAGTTTAGTCAGCTACTTCCCTTTGTAAAATTACCTACGGCTCATAAAGGAGCAAGCTCTGGAGTAATCGTGATAGTAACTCCTTTTTAACGAGCAACAGAAGATATTCAAATAAGGCTAATAGTGCATGTCTTGGCACTGAGTTAAAGTTGGCCTGAATTGCCTCTGCTTACTCACCCTCCTTACAGGCAATACTTCCAAAATGTTTCTCTGGAATATGTTCCTTGTGTCTGCAGGAGCTATTTATAATCCACACAATTATTTTTGGATTAAACTCCTCCAGGTGGCTCCTTGCCACTGGAGCAAAGGGGTTTAAATGAATTACAAAAACATGTATGAAGTAGTGCACTTGGGCTGAGGCACTTCCAAGTAGAGTGGCCGAGCCACGTGCACTGAGTGGTCAGATCTGGTGTGAGCAGGCACAACTCTGCTGCAGCCAGTGAACTCTCTGATGTATTCACACAGGTACTAATCCCTTCAGGACCCTGTCATTCTCGGTTGGAACCTCACTCAGAGCACGGGCCAATATGTCAGCACCACCAAGCAGCATCTCAGAAGGCTTTGTCTCTGTTGACTGTTTAGAACCTGTCCTGGGTGGAAGCAAGCTGTTCAGCAATGCCTACTCTTGTCCACCCCAACCTCCCAAAAAGGAACACGTTAGAAATGTTCCCACTTGTGTCTTGTCATCTTACACTTAGGATGTAAACACTCTGTAGTAAAGCTTTTCTTTTGTACGGTACAACATGAGGCTGTAGCTTTTGAGAATGATCATGACACAAATAATAATAATGGATTCACCCATTGGAAACTAAGCCTGAGCAAGAGAAATTGCTATTATTAGAGAAAGGTGAATAGGCTTCAACGTTAATGTCATGTTGTAATAAAGGTGTGCCAGCAACGGGAGAATTGATTGACATATTCATTGTGTACAGACCTTTAAATAAGGGAGTTACTCCAGATTTTACACCAATATACATGAAATCAGAATCTTGGCCTGTAACATGTGTACACTGTACATATACAGTGCCAGTACACTTGCACTTGCCAGTACATATACCTACAGTCATTTATAAACGTGAAAACACTGCAAAGACTGTTTCTAGATATCCATGCCTACTCTATACAATATGGACTATAGAGTGGAAATCCACCTTTTTTGGCATGGGTGAGCTTTGCCTCCCAAAGCTGTGCAGGTTAGTCAAGATTTCTATCAGTTGAGCTGTTTTCCTGACAAATCTGAAACCACTGCATTGTACATATGGAGGCACTGCTGACTATGGGAAAAGTCTCTGTCAGTCTCGGTCACTGACCCACTGTGTGACTTTGGGCAAGTCATTGCCCCCACCCCGTGCCTCAATTTCCCCATCAGCAAAATAAGAATAATGATGTTTCCCTCCTATGTAAAATACTTTTGAGTTCAATTGATGAAAAAAGAGCTGTAGAAGAGCTAGTTATTATTGTTGCATTTCAGGCAGACAGTTCAAACCCTCTGCTTTATTGCAAAATGTACTTCTGCTACGAAGTATTTGCAATAGTGATGGGCAAATCTACAGACTGTTCTTTGAGTAGCTGTGGTATTCACAGCACTAGTTTTAGTATCCCATGGTCCTATTTGTGTTATATTTGTATTTCAACAGGAAAGTTCTGAAAATTCCCAGAGAACAGCAATGCTGAGAGTCACATTACTAATGAGGTGACAACATACAGGGTCATGGCTTGATCCTGTTGAAGTCAGTGGCAAAACTCCCTCTCTGACTTCAACAAAACAGGACTGGGCTTACATTCTTCTTATTTTCAGCATGACAGGTTGTCAGATTAGCAACAGAACTTTTTCAAAATGTAAAGAGAGAATGTGTTTTGATGGGCTGAAGCTCCGTGTCTCCCAATGTAAGAGATATTTTGGCCATTTGCTCATAATTCTCAGGAGGACGGAAGATGAAAAATGGGCCAGTCACTCATATGGGCCAGTTCAATTTTTTTTTTGTTATATTCCCTCCTCTATTAGCTGGCACGCAGCCTCTCTTCCCTCTCTCTGAGGGCTGCCCAACCTGCATGCAGTAATTTGGATGAGAAAGCACAGGGGTTGCATAATCTAAACAGCAGCTATGTCAGTTACATGAAAACATTCAGAGTTTTTCATACACACAGAGACACCCCATTTTTCCAGCTCGAATGATTTGTTTTAGAGTGAGGTAAACAACAAAATAACAATGAATAAAATTAAAATCTCACAGGAGAGAACAGGATGTAGAGAACACATGATGTATCAACTTAGTTAAAAAATGGCAGCTGCTCCTGTAGACTCCCTAATAATGTATAGGTGTTATCCATAAAAAAAAACCCAAAGTTGTATCAGTAACATAGCTATAGACCTATAAAAATCAAGCTAATGTTAGGATTCGGTGAAACCTTATTATTACGGGTTGGGCATAATCACTGCCTTGTATTCAGAATAAATGTGAAGAAGCCATTGTAAGCAGGCATTGTAAGCAGTTAAGCAGCCTAGTGCAAGTCCGTGTCTCCAGCCAAAAGAAAGACATTCTTAAGGTCAATCTGGAATGTTAACTATGTGGGCAATATATCCTGACCAGTGGAACTGAAGTCAGATGACCCATGTTCTTTGGTAGAACCATGACTGAGGAGGAACTGGAAGCAACTAATCTCAATGGACAGAGCAGGCTGTAGGTTTAATACGTTCAACTTAACCTGCATTCAGCTCTGTTCTTTCCTAATGAAACAGGCAGGGACTCAGCTGGGCATTGCTTGGATAAGGGTGCATATAAGTGAAGGAGGGGGCAGCCAGCAAGCAGTACCTGTAGTGCTGACAATATTGCTGTAGAGGAAACTAAGAAAAGAGTTTGGGGCACAGAGTGCTGGTTGGACAGGCAGGGACACCCAATGTAGATGCACAAATAAAAACCTGAAAAAACTATTTGGATTAACACATTCCATTTGAGAATAAAATAGCATGATATTAAGTTACATATGGCGGCAAGAATGCCTGTAGAGAAGCATCATCTGAAGATAGGCCTGCAGTCAGGAACTGTTGAGTTCTAAACTTGTTCTGACAGTGTCTCCCGCTGACACTAATATTTATATTTTCCCCTTCTGTAACATGAGGGAAACACTTGGAGTTGTAAGCATTAATTTATGTTCATAAACCCCATTGAAGTTAAGGACTAAGTGTTACTAATCACTTTATATCAACTGTTGAAATTTCTTTATGGCCTTCAATGCAAATTACATATTTAAACTAAATTGCTATGTAGCTGCTAGCTGTTAATATCTGAGTGGACAAAGTGGTTCTACAGTTATCAGGCAGTGACTAGAAGCAGTTTGGAATATTTGTGCAAAGCAGGCATTTTTTTGTACAATTATCCAGGGATTTCTTTCTCCATGAGGAGCAGCTGGCTTAAGGAGTTTTATGGAGTGGCCATCACAGAAGATTTGCCCACAAGCAGAAAGTGGATTTGGTACATAACACAATAGTTTAGCATAGACTATATCTTGCTCAAACACCAAAAAAAGAAATTGGATAAAACTATATAATTCCACTATCTGGGACTTGTGCCACAAGAATATACTTATCCCCACAAAAGGAACAGCCCAGCAATGGGGATCTATATTTCCTCAATTCTGCTACACCAGTGTACCTGTGGCGTGGCCTACAGGGACCAATGTACACTGGATCCACTACCTACTGCCAAATATCTTTTAGTTCTATGTCTAATTTATAATTTCAGACTGCGATCAGCATAATTTCTCCCAGCTATAAAACCATTTTTTTAAAAAGATATTTTCACAGTATGACGATTACATGTCTTCACTCCATAATTCTGCAGTTAGTCCAGCTCTCGTTGGATTCAGGAGGCTTTTTTCCCATTGATTTCAATGGAAGTTAAAATTGGATGTTTTTTCTGAAAGTTCTGCTCTAGGAACTATTGTGGGGAAGTTCTATGTCCTATGCTTCACAGGTGGTCAGATTCAATGGTTCTTAAGGTTCCTCTTGGAGTCTATTAATCTATGAATAAGTGTGATGAGACTTCCTGTGAGGTCAGGTCAGAATGTGCAATGTTGTCATACAAATATGGCACCTGTGTTAAAAAACAGTCTTTTAAATATTCCATTTTGAACTTTAACTTGGGCCAAAGAGATTAAATCTGAACTGATGGCTTCCTTTGCAAACAACCCGTTTTAATTGCTTCCTTTGACCTTGAGATGCAATTCATGTTTAATTCAAAACAATCACAGAAGATAAAGGAGATTTAACAGAACTTTGCTTTTTATGGAGTTGCTGTGTCCAAGTGCGGAAGTGGATTTCTTAACTGTACTATTTGATATTGATGTTGGGCTCTGTGGATCTGGAAAGCTTGTCTCTTTCATCAACAGAAGTTGGTCCATTAGATGATATTACTTCACCCATCTTGTCTCCCTCATATCCTGGGCCCACCATGGCTACCACAATACTGCAAACAAAACAGAAATGTAAGACATACATAAAACTGGTACATAAACCTGGCACTACTATATATTTAAGAGAGTTTGTCATAAGCAAACAAGCAAGCCTGTCTGTTTGCTTATCTGTTTGTTCAATAACTCCTATTAAATTTTAAGAGCTAGGACTACCAAATTTGGTAAGCAGCTTCCTCTTATCATAACTTCAATCAAGGTAAAGGTTTGGCTATATGGTGGCGGGGGATGGGTGTGAAGCTTCTTCCTTCCTCCCCCAAGTCATATGGGGATGCAAAACACACACACACACACACGACAGAATCACCAGGCAGGAGAAAGGGACTGGCTGGAGGCACCTTCTAACCCAGGACTGCCCCAGCCCTGAGCCTCCCATCCCCCCAGGTGCCATTTAGGGAGGCTGAAGCTCCCCCCACTCCCCAGCCCAGTCCCCAATGCGTATGAGAATAATGCTGTTCCCCTTCATCAGAGAGCATGGGGAAAGTGCACAGTTTATAGCATTCCTCACTTGGACTGGAGAACATAAGGGGCAGACAAACTAGCAACTGCCCCAGTTGGGGAACATGAACCCCCCTCTCCCTGGGACAGCCTGCATACTGAGCCCCTCATCCCCAGCCCCAGTTAAGGATCTAAGCAATGCCAGGTAAATCTTTTCGTAGCTAGATATTTTCACAACTTCTCTTCCATTTACTGTCTCCAGTTTCTACCTTATACAGGGAATAGACCAGCTAATGCTGACCTGCCCATCAGTACAAGCCTGCATTATATTTTGTCTGAATTCCAAGCCAGAATAGTAAAGGAACACTGCTACTTAGCTCTGCCACCTCATTGGTAGAACTTGTTATGTTCAGGAACCATGCCAAGCCAGTAGCATTCTTGAGGGTAAACTGAGTTTACCCATTTCCCCTGTGAGGCATATGGGATTTAGATTTGTTTACTCCTCTTTTTTTACCACTGTGCTGAGATAAGGAGTCTGACAGAGGTCTGCTTCATTCCGAGTCTGACTTGACTGAACGTGAGCCTCGGCATAAACATAATTGACTCCAACTAGGTCTTGAAGGAACAGCACCCCACAGAGTGGGACATTTGTGAGGCAGTTAAATGACATTGGAAGGGGTCAGGCTTGAATTGTTATCTAATGTAAAAGGGGTGGGCCAGAGCCTCAACAATGGGCATCACCGCAGCTCCATTAAAGTCAATGGCTCATGCCACTTGAGAATGTGGTTTAAGTTCCCAAGAAATTTTTAAGTTAAATTTTGGGTTTAAGTCCCCAAGAAATTTTTTAAAATCCCCAAATCTAACAAGGCCTTGACTGGACCATACTGGGTCTGTGTTCTCTGTCAAGCGCACACAAGAATAATACAAGCTAATTAACAAATCACATTTGCAGGGCAGTCATTGGTGTTTGTGGGGCCCCCTATGCAGTACTATTCAACTGGTGCCTCTATGCCTAATGGCAGTGGGGTGACAATTTGTTAGAGATGTGATTTTATAATCTTCAGCAATGCACTTTTAAAGCAAATTTTAACCTAAGGTCCAGTAGACACACATAGCAAATTCAGAAACTTTAGTATGCATCTGAGCTTGGAAATAATGGCTTCCTTACCACTTGAATGGCTCTCTCACAGGTTCTGTGTTTTGCTAATATGTCTGTCAGGCTTTTTCACTTTTAAGTTAACTATGTCCGCTCCAGAGGACATTAAGCCATGGAAAAAACATAGGCAGAGTTGGGTAGGTGGACATTAAAACCCAGTGGTGCCACAAATTTCCAGGTGCCCTACGCAATTGCAGGTTCTGTGTATGGGTAAGGATGGCCCTACACATTTGGCAGCCTGGTGTTAGCATTATTAGTATTCGCTGAGAGCTACGAGTGTGTACAGAACTATGTAAAACAGAAGGGCTGTGTCTATACTGGCCAGTTTTTCCGGAAAATCAGCCGCTTTTCCGGAAAAAACTTGCCAGCTGTCTACACTGGCCACTTGAATTTCCGCAAAAGCACTGACTTCCTACTGTAAGAAATCAGTGCTTTTTGCGGAAATACTATGCTGCTCCCGTTCGGGCAAAAGTCCCTTTTGCGCAAAAGGGCCAGTGTAGACAGCTCAGATTTGTTTTGTGCAAAAAAGCCCCGATCGCGAAAATGGCGATCGGGGCTTTTTTGCGCAAAAGCGCGTCTAGCTTGGCCATGGACGCTTTTCCGCAAAAAGTGCTTTTGCGGAAAAGCGTCCGTGCCAATCTAGATGCTCTTTTCCGAAAATGCTTTTAACGGAAAACTTTTCCGTTAAAAGCATTTCCAGAATATCATGCCAGTCTAGACGTAGCCAAGATCTGGCTACTACTCCAACAGACTTACAGTAGAAGGGTCTAATGTTGTAATGTGCTTTACACTTCCTATTGCAGAGCTACTCAACACGTGCCCATGGGTCTCATGCGGCCCACGGCCCATTTGTTTGCAGCCCATGGTGCAGTTTGGCTTTACTGTGAAGTTTGGGTTGATCTGTGTTTTAGTAGTTAAATTCCTGGACTGTTGTGAAGCCAAAACAAAAAAGTAGTCAGTATAATGGTCTTCTGTTGGTATGAGTTTTAGTAGTTAAATTCCTGGACTGTCATTGCTCATTAAAAGTGCTGTCATATGGGTGGAAATCAGGTAAATATTGGGTTTTATTAATATCAGCAGAACTGGCTTAAATGAGGCCTGCGTGTTGTGTAGTCTTGCCTTAGTTTTTGAATTCATGCCCGTCAGTGCGAAAGAAGCTATTTGCATGTATATGCAACGACACTTAAGTTGTGGCCCTCGGCATGTGCTATGGGTATCATTGTGGCTCCCAGGCTTCCAAAGTTGAGTAGCCCTGTCCTATTGGGTATGCAAACCCTTGATTCCCACTAACTTCTCAGGAGGTGCCCTGTATTTTGAAGGATTTCAGAGCTGCTCAGCACCTAAGGTTGCCAGGTGTCCGGTATTCACCTGGACAGTCCGGTATTTTCAGCTTCTGTCCAGTAAAAAAATTCAGAGAATACCAGACACCTGAGATGTATTTTCTGAATTTTTCCCCGGCCAGGAGGCGAAAATGCTGGGCACCTGGCAACCCTACAAACACTCAGCGCCCAGCCTCTTCCGCCAAGCCTCCCCTGGCCTCCAACACCCCCAGCCCCCATGCTTACCTGGTTCCCCAAGGCTGCCGGCACAAAATGGCTGCCGGACAAAAGACCTACGAGAAGCAATGCTTTCCCCTGGGTCTTAGTGCTCAACCTCTGCCCTGTTCCTATCCCTGCACTCACTCTTAAAGGGGACATACTGTTTTAATGCTGTTTTATTTTAATGTTTTTTGGCTTAAGAAGTCCTTGGAATCCCTTTTTTTTCCTCTCTCGCAACAACTTTGGTCTCCCCGCCCCCTCTTTTTTTCCCCTTCAACAGAATTTTTCCGGGTGTTTTTTTTGGGGGGGTGGGCGGTTCGGTATTTTTGTTTCAACCATCTGGCAACCCTATCAGCACCCACAACTATCACTGACTTTTACTGGAGCTGTTTTCATTCTTGCTAACAAAGCCACTAGATGTCAGTACAGCCTAAGTAACTCAGCCCGTATCTTACTCATGCACCAATGCTACCAGTCCATACCAGGGTTACCAGTCCATACCTGTGCCCAGGATCATCCGTTTTTGAAGGAGGTGCCCTGGAAAATCCATAGGGATGCTCAGTGCACACTGCCAGCTGGCCAGTTTCAGCATTCAGGATCATTCTGGATGTCCCCATTTTTTGTACCATGGCCGTGACCACCCTAACTGGTGACATGAGAAAATTCACCTCGTTAGCCATGGCAATGCAACAGTGCCACGGCTGATACTTGTGCTTAAATAGTATTACTGTATTTGGATAAGCTGAGTAATTGAAAATGACAACAACAAAACAAAATGCAAGACATACCAATAGAGAAACGCAGGACATTGAGGCTATGTTTAGACTGTATCCCTCTGCCTACAGAAGGATGTAGATTAGGCACTTCGAAAGTGCAAATGAGCCCATGATTTAAATATCCCGGGCTTCATTTGCATACTCACATTCGGGCGCTATGCCGATCACATGCCCTTTCGAAAGTGAAAGTGAAGTCTAGCTGCGGCTAGTCTAGATTTTTCGAGGAGTACAGGATCTGCTGAAAAAGCTCCCCACTGCTAAATGTGAGTATGCAAATGAAGCCTGGGATATTTAAATCCCAGGCTCCTTTGCACTTTTGAAGTGCTTAATCTACATCCTTCTGTTGGAAGAGGTGTATAGTTTAGACATTCCTGAGTATTCAAGATGGGATCAAAACGGGTCTGGATACTAAAAGGTGCTGCATGCCCTTCACTCCCTCTGATTTCATACAGCCTTTAGCACATGTACAGGCTAGAAAAAGAATTAGAAAGGGAACATGTCAGCTACTTAAAGCTATAACCACCTATTACAGACACATTTGATCACCGTCCATTGTAATACAAATTACACTGACTCATGGAAGTTTACTGTATGGCCAAAAGTGAAGTATTTAAACAGCATATGTCTAGAATGAAGGAAAACTACAGTACTCTAACTCTTTCTAGAAGTTATTCCTTAAATATGGATTGGCATGAGTTAAATACTGCCCCATCCCACCATGACCTTATGAAACTTCCCATCAAATTTAATGTGACTTCCCCTAAGGCAGCCAGCTGTGAAAGAATGCTGTGCAGGTTGCCAGAGGTCAGATACATTTTGTAAATGCTGATAAGACTCAAGAACATAAATCCCTCTTAACATAACAGCAAAGGTTTAACATGTATACAAACTCAAACCACCATGCAGTAGGCAATGGCCCAGTCCTGCCAGGCAGTGTGTTTCTAGCTTTAGAGGAGTGGTTCCAGCCCTGTGGGGCCCACCAAGACAGCCCTTGTCCATGGCGGTGTTGGCCATGGCCCCTGCCCCACTGCAGGTTACACACTATAGCTCCTGGGGATCCACTGCAGAGCCCGCAGGGAAGCCTCCTCCCCAGGAGCGAGACTGGCAAGGGGCTGGTGGCCCTGCTCCTGAGGAGACTTCACTGAGGGCTCCGTAGCTTAGCTTTATCCTGCACAGCCCGCGGCGCGTGTAACTGCTAAGATTTTGAGAGGTTACAGGGTTACCTTTAAACAATGTTTTACATCCCTAGTTAGTACTCTTGTGGCCTTACAAACTGTGAGACTAGATGTTCAGAAACTGCCATCTGCATACAGAAGTGCAGAAATGTATTGGTAAAGCATATTTGGTGAATAAGATTTCAGTCCCTGATTTGCAGACGGTCAAGGAACGATCTGAATTGTGGCCCCAAATAACTGCAGGCACTATAATGCACCTGGGGAAGTGAAGGCCTAGTTCAGGCAATGCTGAAAGTGTGGCCCTTAGCTTCTTTCAGTACAGTATTTCCCATTCTAGAGCTAATGTTAAATTAACAAATAATCCTTTGAACTAAGAGTCTCTGTGGCCATAAAATGTGGTGTAGTACAGACAATCTACACAAACCTGCAATTCTAACTATGACTTGAACCCTTTACATAATCACAGATAGATTAATTGCCCTTTCAAATTATTAACGGGGAATCCTACATGACAAACAAAGTATGCTGCTGGCAAACTAGGGTGGGAGGAGGGCAAAAAAGACCATGATTGACACAGTGTTAGACACTGTGATCTAGTGGGCAGGACACAACCGAGGCTGGAAACCATGGGTCTAATCTCTTTGCTGACCTTCTGTCTCACTTTGGGCAAGTCTGTTAGGGTATGTCTACACTACCACCCTAGTTCAAACTAGGGTGGTTAATGTAGTCATTCGAAGTTGCAAATGAAGCCCGGGATTTAAATATCCCGGGCTTCATTTGCATCTTGCCGGGTGCCACCATTTTTAAATCCCTGTTAGTGCGGACTCCGTGCCGGTGGCTACACGCGGCACGGAGTAGATAGTTCGAATTAGGCTTTCTAATTCGAATTACCGTTACTCCTCCTTAGAAAGCCTAATTTGAACTACCTACTCCGTGCTGCGTGTAGCTGCGGGCACGGAGTCCGCACTAACGGGGATTTAAAAATGGCGGTGCCCGACAAGATGCAAATGAAGCCTGGGATATTTAAATCCCAGGCTTCATTTGCAACTTCGAATGACTACATTAACCACGCTAGTTTGAACTAGGGTGGTAGTGTAGACATACCCTTACTCTCTTTTCCCTACCTCCCTTTGTCTGTCTTGTCTAGTTTGGGGAGAGAGGGACTGCTTCTTACTAGGTGTTTGTCCAGTGTCCGGTACAAAGGGCTCACTAGGCGCTGCAAATAATACAACTAATAGCACTGCAATGTTAATTCAGGACCCATACTATGCTAATCACAAGGGTCCCTTTTGTGATTGCTTTATTATTAACTGTTATGCAAATGAGCTTTTGAAATGTATGGTTTACTACACTGACTTTATTGTGTGTAATTAGTGCAAGAGACAGAAATTTAACAGCCCTCTCTCTCTGAGAGAGAGTTAAGTACTCCGAATGCCATGTAAGCCATGGTTCTATTCAGATGTTCTCCTCTCCATTTCTATTAAACTCCTCTTTAAAGCAATAACTTTAGTCATTTCAGCACCAAATACTTCATTTAAACTACTTTTTCCCACTTCTGCCTATAGCAAAGCCATGTCATTTAGCAGACTATAAGAAAAGCAATGTTAGATCTAAAGAAAGTCTGAGGAGACTCTGTCTGTACCCAGAACAGGTTTCAAGAGCCGTAGTCTGTTTCAACAACAACAACAACAAAAGGAGTCTAGTGGCACCTTAAAGACTAACCATTTTATTAGGGCATAAGCTTTCATAAGCTGCAATTCACTTCATACATCTGACAAAGTGAGTTACAACTCACAAAAGCTTATGTCCTTATAAAATTGTTAGTCTTAAGGCCGTAGTCTACCCTTATTTTGAAATAACAAGCAGAGTGTCCATACTACCAAACCCGTTATTTCTAAATAATGGGCTGGTTATTTTGAAATAACAACATCTGATTTCCACAAGGAATAATGTTGATTTTGAAATAGTTATTTTGAAATACTGGTAGGCTACATCTACACTAGCACCCTTTTCAGGAAATGCTTAAAATGGCACAGTTTTCCGTTATAAGTATTTCCAGAAAAAGCGCGTCTACATTGGCACAGATGCTTTTCTGGAAAAAGTGCTTTTCCGGAAAAGCACTTTTTCCAGAAAAGCATCTGTGCCAATGTAGACGCGCTTTTCCGCAAAAAAGCCCCTATCGTCATTTTCGCAATCGGGGCTTTTTTGCGGAAAACACTACTGTGCTGTCTACACTGGCCCCTTGAATTTCCGGAAAAGCACTGACGATCTAATGTAAAATTGTCAGTGTTTTTCTGGAAAAACTATGCTGCTCCGATTCAGGCAAAAGTCCTTTTCCAGAAAACTATTCTGGAAAAGGGCCAGTGTAGACAGCTGGCAAGTTATTCCGGAAAAGCGGCTGATTTTCCAGAATAAGTGGCCAGTGTAGACACAGCCATAGTGTGGATGCTCTGGTGCCACTATTTCAAAATGACTACTCCCCAGAGTCATTCAAAGTAATTACTCCCCTGTGCTTCATGGACTCTAAGTTAAGGCAGCAGGTCCACATGAATAGAGCCTGCCTCGGACTAATTTTGAGGCGTCCCCATAGTGTGGACATGCTATTTCAAAATAGTTATTATGGGAGTTATAATTTTGAAATAAGTTATTTTGAAATCATTTCCTAATGTAGACATGCCCTAAGGTGCCACTGGACTCTCTTGTTTATCCAGAACAGGGTACGAGTCAGGTTACAGTTTAAGCTGCAGACCCAATCAAGATTAGGATTTAATAGGGACAAAGCCTAAGGAGATATACGTTGGTTTTGCCTGCATCTGGTTGCACTTTGAATCTGGCTCAAAAGCTAGACCCAGAGCCCATTCTGACCTGGGAATTCAACTCAGAAAAGGTCTCATATGGGTTATGAGGTCTGGGTCTGTATCAAATTATGGAATATGATATTGTAGCCAAATAAGAAAAAAAGTAAATCAGGAAGTTTTGTTTGGTTTCCTGCAGGCCCGCTGATGGGGGGGAGAGGGGAAAGGAGAGGGGGCAAAGGGGGCAGTTGCCCCAGGACCTGGCAATTCAAAGGGGACTAGGGCTGCCAGCTGCCACCACTACTGCGGCAGTGGCAACATTTTGAGCTCGAGGCCCTTTAAATCACCCCCAGCGCACCACTCTGCATGCTCTGGGAGGCTCTGAGGGTTGGGGGGAGGCAGAGTGTGGCACACCCTCACCCCTTCCACCTGAGGCCCCACTCCTTCCTGGAGTTGGGATCTCTCCCTTCACGGAGACTGTCAGCTCCCTTGGTTTCCTGGCAAACACTGCACTGAAATTCAATACAACTGTTTGCAACAGGAGGTCACTGGGTCTTAGGAGCATGTGCTTACACCTCAGTGCTCCTGGTGCAGCTCTAGGCCCTTTGAAAAGGGGAGCTGTACTTGCAAGGATCTTCTCTTAGCCACATGCTCTACAGGAAATCACATACAAAGTTTCTTGGCTCTTAGGCAGAGAAGCAGAGCGGGGAAACCCAGGTTCACGGGAGGACCAGGGTGTCTCTCAATGCCTATTGAACAGAAGGCTGAAGCAGGAGATATCTGCAGACAACAGGAGTTAATTAGCGAAAGCCTCATTTAGGGAGTGTCATGAAGCCCTGCAAGATTGGTTATAATGACTGATGCCCTGAAGACAAGTCCTAGGCAAGACCCTCTGGGGCACTGAGTCTGGTTTTGGATCTTTGTTACTAAAAGAAAGCCCTGAGAAGAGAAGGGGTAGTGGCATAATTTCACTTTCTTCACTGGGGAACTGCACCACCAGCTTATACTGTTGTTGTTTACACACCCACTGGTTCCCAGACATCAGTCCCGGGCTACATACTGCCTAGCACAGGAGTAGGCAATAAGAGGCTCATGGGCCAGATGTGCTTCACCAGGGTTAGTCTATGGCAGGCCACCAGATGCTTAATTTACCCGCATATATGCAGGTACGGCCACTCGCAGCTTCCATTGGCTGCGGTTCACCATTCCCAGCCAATGGGAACTGAGGGAAGTGGCATGGGGCAGACCACCACTTCCCACCACACCCATTGGCTGGGAACACTGAACCATAGCCAATGGGAGCTGCATGTGGTTATACAGCTAAATAAAGCATCTAGTAGCCAGCAAACTGCAGTCAGCCCACAGGCCACTTATTACCCATCCAACCTAGCACGAAGCAAGAGTATTATTGTCATAGCACCCAGGCTTATGTTACACCCCCCACTGTCTCTGTATCAAAGGAGCCTATATGCAAGCAACATACTAAACTGAACAGAACCCCAGGGAAGATTTAGTCTTATCCATAGCACCAATGCATGCCTGGTATGATATCACAGTGAACCAGACCAGCAACCTAGCTTACTGAAGATAGTTTGGTAATAACACCCATCCCCACACCAGTCTCATTCCCTAGGCTCCATCCATCCCTGAACAACATCTGGAAGGCTATAAACTGGAAGACTTTAAACAATTGGGAATCAGGAGACAGGGACTATTGGAAGCCTTATTTTCTTTCAGTGTTGTATTTTATAGGCACTCCTGGCAGACTCTATGAACATTCCCACCTCACTCAGCCAGCTTTGAGAGAAGAGCCCACAAGGGTTTTCTTAAAAGTCTTTTGGAACGTTGATACTGAACCATAACTCTTTAGAAAGTCCTGAGCCCAGTTCATAAAAACTACGTGCCAACATTTGTCTAAAGAAATGCATTCAATTTTTAAGACTTGAAAACAAAGGTGAACTGAGCAATTCCTCACTTTGCTGGCTAAAAATATACCACCTCAAACTATCAACTGCTGCTGCCATTGACACTATTGTATGAATGGGGAGCCTGCTTTGCTAACATGGAAAAAGTTGACTGGAAGTACTAAATTCACCTTAGGGGATTTGGCAACTCTTGTTAGGCCACAGAGACCCTTAGTTCAAAGGATTATTTGTTAATTTAACATTAGCTCAACAACCACAAGCAAGGTGCATCTCCGTGATGAGGGACCACGCCTTCCATACTCAATTATTTTCCAGTGTCTTGCTTCATTGAGATTTATTAGAAGTAGCCGAATAAAAGCAACAATCCATAAACCCTGGATGTGTGAAAAAACAAATCTGGTATTCATAGTCTCCAGTTTATTATATGAGAAGGACAATAGGATATCCAGGCACAATACCTTCCAATAACAACATGAGGCTGAGGTCAAGTTTTTTGGATCTTGGCTATGTTGGCATTTGTTCCTACAAGGAAATAAAAAAAATATATTCAATAAGTTTCCCACAGACCTTAAAAAAGCAGAAACATCTGTTGCAGCTAGGAACAGCCTGTGTGCTAAGTTCAGCAGCAGAAACATTAACAGCTTGACCAGGTCTGCCTTTACCTCTGAAATGTCTCTGTGCTCAATGGGAAATTATAGAAAGTTTCAGGGGACATATCAATAATTCAATAGCCAAAACATACAAATAGGCTCTCTTCCCTTTTCTGTCAGGAGACCAGCACTTGATGATGTTAATGATAGCTTAGTTTGTGGTTTTCAACAGATTATTTATCAGAGCTAGATCTGTAAATCCATGTAGCTCTATTGACGTCAAGTCAATAGCGTGATGCAGATCACACCAGCTGAAGATCTATCCCATGGACTGAAATTCAGTAAATCTAATTTTTGTTCTTAGTGCTACAGTTTTTTGTGTGGCGAGGAAAAAATCATAACTTTTCAATGCCTCAGTTTCTCCTCTGTAGAACAAGACTAATGTTCCTCTATGTTACAAGATCTTGTTTAACTGTCAGTTGCTTTGATGGACATTGCAATATAAATAAAAAATACTGCAATCCTGAGCAGTAATAGACTTCCTCACTCCAGTGCCAAGATCACCAAGTGTCCTGAAACTGCTCCATCACATGCAGTGGATTTGTAAGTAATGTGGATAAGTGTCCACTGGGAACTAGGGTAAGACCACACAATTTCTTTCACTTCTGACCTAAGCTATATCAATCATCTGTCCAGAGAGGAAAAGCTGGTGCATTGACCCATTGTACTATTTAGCCCCTCACATGGGAAACCTCACTAAAGTGAAGTCCCATAGAAAAGGAAGAGTCTTTACAGAGCAGATTTCAATGCAAGCATAGATTCCCAATGAAGGAGCTTTAGTTTATGCAGCACCTTTTTATATAAAATTAACCCCCAAATGCTTTACAGAACTATACACGCTCAAAGGGAAATGAAAACCAAGATACGCACACACAGGAAACTGACTATACTGACTATACACACACACAGGAAACATTGGGCCCATTCTCCTCACACCCACATAGTGGCGACTCCTTTGAAATCAGTGGACTTTGCACTGTTGTAAAAGCTGGGTGAGTGGAAAATGAGGCCCATTATTTCAGGTGAGAGTTAAAAAGAGATAAGATTGGAAGACAGCAGACTGACAGGAGCACAGATCCTTGAGGATTTGTATTATGGTCTACTTTAATGCTGGATATTACAGTGCACATAAAATAGTATGAAACATAACTTCTATCTACAGTAGGTTGTAGCCTTTTTTAAACAGCAGAAGGTTGGACTTCAGTTTGCAGATATCAGGTGAAGTGATGCAGAACCTCAGGATGTGACACCTCCAATGGTATTTAGCTAGGAGACTGTGGCTGAATCCTTACATTGTAGGGGAAAGTGCTATGAGATTCTTACTATGATCAGGACTTCAGTTTCACTATTCACCCCAAAGAGGCTTCCAGCAGCCATGTTGACTCAATATAGATCCAAAGGGAAATATGCCTCATATTTAGGGTACATTTATACTGCAAGCTTCTTTCAGAATAAGCTTTTCCAGAAGATATCTTCCAGAAAAGCTTATTTCGAAATAGAGCATCCACACTACAGAGAAGCCTAAAAATTAGTCCAAGGCAGGCTCCCCTAATGTACACGTGCTATCTCAACTTAGAACCCCAGGAGGCATGGGGGAGGAATAACTTTAGAATGGCACTGGTGAGGAGCTATTTCGACATAGCAGCAGTGGAGCATGTACACACACCGGCTACATCTACACTGGCCCCTTTTCCGGAAGGGGCATGTAAATTTCACCAGTCGTCGTAGGGAAATTTACATGCCCCTTCCGGAAAAGGGGCATGTAAATTTCACCAGTCGTCGTAGGGAAATTTACATGCCCCTTCCGGAAAAGGGGCATGTAAATTTCACCAGTCGTCGTAGGGAAATTTACATGCCCCTTCCGGAAAAGGGGCATGTAAATTTCACCAGTCGTCGTAGGGAAATTTACATGCCCCTTCCGGAAAAGGGGCATGTAAATTTCACCAGTCGTCGTAGGGAAATTTACATGCCCCTTCCGGAAAAGGGGCATGTAAATTTCACCAGTCGTCGTAGGGAAATTTACATGCCCCTTCCGGAAAAGGGGCATGTAAATTTCACCAGTCGTCGTAGGGAAATTTACATGCCCCTTCCGGAAAAGGGGCCAGTGTAGACGTAGCCACCCTCTTCTGAAAAAGCTTTTTCAGAAAAGGGCTTATTCCTCATGGAATGAGGTTTATCACCGTTAGAAAAAGCCGTCTATTATTTCAACTTTGTCAAAATAATGCAATTGCGGTGTGGACGCTAGTATTGTTTTTGCAAAATAACAGCTGTTATACTGGAAAAACGGTGCAGTGTATCAATATCACCTCTGCTGACCCTGAACTTTCACTGAAGATCTCCATTACAAGTGCCTAACAGGTACAATCCTGATAAATTTAAGGTATCTTCAATCTGACACTGTTCTATAAAAATGTCAGAAAAACTTAATTGCAGATTCACAGTGTTTTGATGGAAAACGATCCACTACTCTTGGGAAGCCAATAGCTAGAGAATCACTGCACTCAAACCATCACTCAAACTGTAAAACTGACAGCCGCAAACAAACAGCTCTTCAGGATTGTGACTCTCTCAGTGTGGCAAGCCTTGTAACATTTAATGTTTCTTAAAGCCTCAGCTCCTGGAAGCTAGTGATTATGTAAGAATCTTGTCTTACACGTTTTAAAAAAATGTTTCTAACTGCCATCGTTGCAGAGTAAAGACTGGAAATGTGACCTAACTATAACCTAATGTCTCCGAAATCAAATAAAAGTATTTAACATTTTTAAAAGCTCGTGAATTCTTGGAGTCTACTTTGGGATTCTGGGGGTTGGCGCTACTGCTCACAACACATTTGAAAGAGTGCCTAGCACACTGTGTGTGAGTTCTGCTGTAATGGAATAAGAAATCAATAAAGCTATCACCAAGTACCTGTGCACATCTCTAGACAATTGGACGTGTGTCAAAATAAGTGGTTATTTTTCATCTAGAGTCTTGGTGTATGTGTTGTGCTCTGAGCTGCCCATTATTGATAAATACCAGAGCTTTGAGGGGGAAGACTTGCTGACACACAAATTAGGGTCCATTTTGGATTTTTCCCCCAATATACATACTTTCCATTTGACCTTGACCTCTTCCTTCATATGACTCTGTCCCCCTTTTGAAATTGCACATCCTGTGTTTGATTAACAGAAGAGAGGTCAGATGGAAAGGGAAAAAAGAGCGTTTGATAAATAACAGAAAGAGGATCATTTAGAAGTCCACTACACTTAAAACTAAGAAATGACCTAAAATTTAAAAAAAGGATAAAAAACAGGAAGTGGGAGAGGAAGAAGATGTTCTTTCTTTTCACGTTATGACTTTTAAATCTCTTCTATGATGTGTTTCATTTGCTTTAAAATGCCAACATGATTTAATTTTCTAATCTGGAGGGATGATAGGAATTACTAGAGAACTTTCTGGGTGTCTGGCTGATGAGTCTTGCCCACATGCTCAGGGTTTAGCTGATCGCCATATTTGGGGTCGGGAAGGAATTTTCCTCCAGGGTAGATTGGCAGAGGCCCTGGAGGTTTTTCGCCTTCCTCTGTAGCATGGGGTACAGATCACAGCTAGAGGATTCTCTGCATCTTGGGGTCTTCAAAGTATTTGAAGGCTTCAATATCTGAGATATAGGTGAGAGGATTATTCTAGGAGGGGTGGGTGAGATTTTGTGGCCTGCACTGTGCAGGGGGTCAGATAGATGATCATAATGGTCCCTTCTGACCTTGGAGTCTATGAGTCTATGAGTCTATCATCATCTCAAAATTCAGAAACATGGAATTTGTTAATAAATTCTCTTCTCAGTCAAGAGTTCTTGTTTCTGGTGCATTATACTGTTCAAAGTAAGTGGTACTAAAAATAATGGTGAAATACTCATCTAAGCTTTTGAAAAAAACATGGGCTGGGATGTTCAGAAATGCTCACTGTTCTCCTAAGGCTGTTCTTTAAAGTCAATGAGAGCTTTTACCATTGACTTCTATGGCAACACAGTTAGACCGGCTTTGAATGTTTTTGAAAATCCTACCCACAACACATTACACAAGGGCAGATGGCAGGAACAAAGACATTTATGGAGTTTTAATTAGGGCAAGTGGGCACTGACCGAAGAAGGAAGCCAGAAAAGCTAGGATTATGATTGCCAGTGGAACAGACTGGCTGACAAACAAAGAGCTCCATGTGTGGCAAAAAAACCAGTGCAAAATGCGAACTTCTGTGTTACTGATACAAACATTATTTTGGGGAGTCTCTGAGGATTGTTTGAACCGTTTCTGTTGTTAAATGAGCCCCTAGTAGGGGTGCTGTTATCCACAAGCGAGGCTGTGTGGAGCTTGCAGCTGAGGGTTTAAGACACCTGCAAAGTGACCCTGGCCACAAGGGGGAGCTACTTAAGCGGCCATCCTGCTACAGGGAGCTATTTTGGAATATAACTACTTTGGACCATTTCTCCATGGAGACCAGGCTTGCAGAGTCACTCTTTTCTTTCCCTGGATATCTGGTTTTCTCCCTGTCTCACATTTCGTTGTAACCTGAACTCTGAGGAAGAATCCACGTGCTACAAGGGCCACGCAGTATCAGGGACCCTGAAAACACAGACAAGTGTGTTCTGTAGCTTCCAATCCATGGTGCTCTCTGGTGCTATAGCCCACTGTGTTATTTGCACCGGGGGCAATTCATTTTTACAGTGTGCTGGCTTCCATGTTCTGTTTTTCAAAATTGATTTCATCCTGCTCTGTGATAGGGATGAACAAGTGACAGGACTCCCGGGCAACCAACTAGAGAGGCAGGTTCATCTAGTACAGTGGTCCCCAACCTTTTGGGGCTGCCGGGCCGGGTAGGGGCAGGGCCGCGCATGTACCACATGCCCGGGGGCGGGAGCCATGCATGCGCCACGCGCCCGGGGCCGGCACTGCATATGCGCTGGGAGCCCAGGGTACAAGAATGGCATAGACCAGCCCTGGTGACTAGGCAGGGGCACATAAATGCCCTGGCGGGCGCCATGGCACCCGCAGACACCGTGTTGGGGACCACTAATCTAGTAGTTTGAGCTCCTGCCTATGATCTGGATACCCAGGTTCAAGACCCTGATCTATCACAGACTTCATCTGAGACTGTGTCAGGTGACTTTGTTTCTATGTGCCTCGATTCTCCATCTGTGAAAGGGAATCGTAATTTTACAAGGACTTGGGAGGATAAATAGGGGATCAGTACACAGCTACTCAAAAACAATGGTGATGCGGTAGTGGGTCATGATAACCCAAGATAGATAAATAACAAGGTGGGATCAGATAGCTCACAACTAAGGGAGCCAGACAATTCAATGTCCAACTTACCAGGTAACTACTAATTGTGACAACCTGAGTGGCCCAGAAATCAGACCTCCATTTCTTTACATGAACCTAGGAACTTGGCAAGGCTCAGTTATTATGGGACAAATTTTCCACCAGCCTTTGCTAGCTCTCACCTTTTATCAATCTTGTGAAATTATGGGTATAAAGAGCTCCAGACATAATTCTGCACCTGCGGTTGTTTGCATTTGCAGTTATGGTCAAACAAACAGGTAAGTGCCCAATAGCAACTGCAATTTTTTCCCCCCTCAAAATATTTCTATGCCCCCCTCCCCCGTTTTAGAATCACAGCACTTCCCAAATACTAGTGTGTATTTATCTTCACAGCACTCCTGCAAGGTAGGGAATAGTTATTGCTCTCTTAGAGGTGGGGAACTGACACCTCTAAGGTGTCTTGAAGTGACTTGAAGTTGGTGCCACAACCAGGAATTGAATTACTGTCTCTCAAGGCCCCATCCCATGCCGCAGCCAGAAGATTGTTCTGATTGTCAGAAACACATACGCACATGAAAAACCATCTCCAAATATTTCTTTGAGTACATTCCCCTATGCAATCCTTTTTGAAATTGTGTCCCAAAAACATCAGGAGAAAGTTTAGAAAACATCACCTAGCTGTAGCAATTATTCACTCCACTCAAATGTGATTGCTACATGTATATATTTCATAGGCACATGTTAGGTTCCAGTTTTAGAAAATAGGAAGGTATAACATAAACCATGTTACTTGGGCTGGGGATGGAGGTACAAAGACA